CAGATGGCACTGTGATAGACTACATCCAATTTGCTGAGTAGAGTGTTGGAAGCTATTTTGTAAATGACATCGCTGAAGTCAAGGATCGGTAGGATAGTCAGTTTTACGAGGGAATGTTTAGCAGCATGAGTGAAGGAGGCTTTGTTGCGAAATAGGAAGCCGATTCTAGATTTAACTTTGGATTGGAGATGCTTAATGTGAGTCTGGAAGGAGAGTTTACGGTCTAACCAGACACCTAGGTATTTGTAGTTGTCCACATATTCTAAGTCAGACCCGCCGAGTGTAGTGATTCTAGTCGAGCGGGTGGGTGCAAGCAGTGTTCGATTGAAGAGCATACATTTAGTTTTACTAGCGTTTAAGAGCAGTTGGAGGCTACGGAAGGAGTGTTGTATGGCATTGAAGCTCGTTTGGAGGTTTGTTAACACAGTGTCCAATGAAGGGCCAGATGTATACAAAATGGTGTCGTCTGCGTAGAGGTGGATCTGAGAGTCACCAGCAGCAAGAGCGACATCATTGATATACACAGAGAATAGTCGGCCTGAGAATTGAACCCTGTGGCACCCCCATAGAGACTGCCAGAGGTCCAGACAACAGGCCCTCCGATTTGACACATTGAACTCTATCTGAGAAGTAGTTGGTGAACCAGGCGAGGCAGTCATTTGAGAAACCAAGGCTATTTAGTCTGCCAATAAGAATGTGGTGATTGACAGAGTCAAAAGCCTTGGCCAGGTCATCTTTTATCGATTGCGGTTATAATATCGTTTAGGACCTTGAGTGTGGCTGAGGTGCACCCATGACCAGCTCGGAAACCAGATTGAATAGCGAAGAAGGTACGGTGGGATTCGAAATGGTCGGTGATCTGTTTGTTAATTTGGCTTTCAAATACTTTCGAAAGGCAGGGCAGGATGGATATAGGTCTGTAACAGTTTGGATCTAAAGTGTCACCCCCTTTGAAGAGGGGGATGACCGCGGCAGCTTTCCAATCTCTGGGGATCTCAGACGATACGAAAGAGAGGTTGAACAGGCTAGTAATAGGGGTTGCGACAATTTCGGCAGCTGATTTTTGAAAGAAAGGGTCCAGATTGTCTAGCCCAGCTGATTTGTAGGGGTCCAGACTTTGCAGCTCTTTCAGGACATCAGCTATCTGAATTTGGGTGAAGCTGGTGGTCGGTGTAGGGGTAGCCAGGCGGAAAGCATGGTCAGCCGTAGCAAAATGCTTATTGAAATTCTCGATTATCATAGATTTATCGGTGGTGACAGTGTTTCCAAGCCTCAGTGCAGTGGGTAGCTGGGAGGAGGTGCTCTTATTCTCCATGGACTTTACAGTGTCCCAAAACTTTTTGGAGTTAGTGCTACAGGATGCAAATTTCTGTTTGAAAAAGCTAGCCTTTGCTTAACCTAACTGATTGTGTATATTGGTTCCTGACTTCCCTGAAAAGTTGCATATCGCGGGGGCTGTTCGATGCTGGTCAAGGGCAGTAAAGTCTGGGGTGAACCAGGGGCTATATCTGTTCTTAGTTCTGAATTTTTTGAATGGGGCATGCTTATTTAAGATGGAGAGGAAAGCACTTTTAAAGAACATCCAGGCATCCTCTACTGACGGAATGAGGTCAATATCCATCCAGGATACCCGGGCCAGGTCAGTTAGAAAGGCCTGCTCACTGAAGTGTTTTAGGGAGCGTTTGACAGTGATGAGGGGTGGTTGTTTGACCGCGGACCCATTACGGATGCAGGCAATGAGACAGTGATCACTGAGATCCTGGTTGTAGACAGCGGAGGTGTATTTAGAGGGTAAATTAGTCAGGATGATATCTATGAGGGTGCCCATGTTTACGGATTTAGGGTTGTACCTGGTAGGTTCCTTGATAATTTGTGTGAGATTGAGGGCATCTAGTTTAGATTGTAGGACAGCCGGGGAGTTAAGCATATCCCAGTTTAGGTCACCAAGCAGTACGAACTCTGAGGATAGATGGGGGGCAAGCAATTCACTTATGGTGTCCAGGGCACAACTGGGGGCTGAGGGGGGTCTGTAGCAAGCGACAACAGTGAGAGACTTATTTCTGGAAAGGTGGATTTTTAGAAGTAGAAGCTCAAATTGTTTGGGCACAGACCTGGATAGTATGATAGAGCTCTGCAGGCTAACTCCACCCCCTTTGGCAGTTCTATCTAGACGGAAAATGTTGTAGTTCGGGATGGACATTTCTGAATTTTTGGTGGACTTCCTAAGCCAGGATTCAGACACTGCTAGAACATCAGGGTTGGCAGAGTGTGCTAACGCAGTGAACAATTCAAACGTAGGGAGGAGGCTTCTGATGTTAACATGCAAGAAACCAAGGCTTTTACGGTTACAGAAGTCAACAAACGATAGCGCCTGGGGAGTAGGAGTGATAATGGGGGCTACAGGGCCTGGGTTAACCTCTACATCACCAGAGGAACAGAAGAGGAATAGAATAAGGATACGGCAAAAGGCTTTAAGAACTGGTCTTCTAGTGTGTTGGGTACAGAGAATAAAAGGGGCAGATTTCCGGGAGTTGTAGAATAGATTCAGGGCATTATGTACAGACAAGGATATGGAAGGATATGAGTACAGTGGAGGTAAACCTAAGCATTGGGTAACGATGAAAGAGATAGCATCACTGGAGGCACTGATTGAGCCGGTCTCCGCGTGTATGGGGGTGGGACAAAGGAGCTATCTGCGGCAGGTTGAGCGGGACTGGGGGCTCTACAGTGAAATTGTACAATAAGAACTAACCCAAACAGCAATAGGCAAGGCATATTGACATGGGAGAGAGGCATAACACAATCACAGGTGTTATTCGAGAGAGCTAAGACAACAACTGGTAATGGCGACGAAAGTTTGCGCTGAGGCTAAACAGATAAACAGGATGGGGTACCGTGTAAAGGAACAGTCCAGCAGGCATCAGCTGTGTAGCTGAGTGATCATAAGGTCCAGTGAACAGCAATAGGTGAGTCCGGGAGCAGTTCGTAGGCTGCTACAGCACAGGCGAGCAGGAGGCACGGCTGTTGATTGCGTGTGCTAGCGGGCCGGGGCTAGCAGATGGGTCTTCGTGGTCGTCGCAACGGGAAGCCTGTTGAAACCACATCAGACAATTACGTCGGCAGACCAGTCGTGATGGATCGGCGGGGCTCCGTGTCAACACTAGGAGGTACCGTCCGGTTGACAGAGAGGTAGATAGCTGGGAGATGGGCCTGGCTCGAGGCTAGCTCAAGGCTAACTGGTGCGTGCTTCGGACAGTGGTGATTAGCCAACAACAACAGCCATTCGGTTGCAGCTAGCTAGTTGTGATGATCCGGTGTTAAGGTCCAGTGATTCAGTGATTCCGGCAGAAAATCCGATATGCTCTGGGTCGATAGCACGCTGTGTGCAGGCCACGGACAGTGGTGAAGACCGCTGACGGTGGCTAATAGCAAGTAGCTAGTTAGCTGGCTAGGGGCCTGGGGTTCTTGGGGCCAGAGGTTCTTGATAAAAGGTATAAAGAAATAATAGAATCCATTCCACATTGGGTGAGATGGGTTGCAGGAAAGTATATTTAGTTAAAGGATGGAAAAGTGAGGTAGAGAAATATATACGAAAAAAGACAAAGAAACTGGCTATTTAAACGAGGACACAACAGAATCCACGACCGCACTGCTACGCCATCTTGGAACCTCTCCAGTTAACTGTTAATAAACAATTATTCATTTAAGATTGACTTCAAGTGTCCCATGTGTAGAATTTCCACGACAACAGCATGATCATTACACAGGTGCACCTTGTGCTGGGGACAATAAATGGCCACTTTAAAATGTGCAGTTTTCCAATTGACATTTTAGTCATTTAGTTTTGTCACACAACACAATTTCACAGATGATTGATGTTTTGAAGGAGCGTGCAATTGACATGCTGACTGCAGGAATGTCCACTAGAGCTGTTGCCAGATAATTGAATGTTAATTTCTCTACCATAAACCACCTCCAACGTCATTTTAGAGAATTTGGCAGTACGTCCAACTGGCCTCACAACCGCAGGCCACGTCTAACCACGCCAGCCCAGGACCTCCACATCCGGCTTCTTCACCTGCAGGGTCGTCTGAGACCAGCCACCCGGACAGCTGATGAAACTGAGTAGTATTTCTGTCTGTAATAAAGCCCTGTTGTGGGGAAAAACGTATTCTGATTGGCTGGGCCTGGCTCCCCAGTGGGTGGGCCTGGCTCCCAAGTGGGTGGGCCTATGCCCTACCAAGCCCACCTATCCCGCCCAGTCATGTGAAATCCATAGATTAGGGTCTAATGAATGTATTTCAATTGACTGACTTCCTTATAGTATATGAACTGTAACTCAGTAAAGTTTTTGAAATTGTTGCATGTTGCGTTTATATTTTTGTTCAGTATATTTTAAGAATATTGTGCTTGGTGGTATGAGCTCTGTGGCAAATTGCAGATTGTAGATTTAACCCATTGAGCTCTGTGGCAGATTGCAGATTGCAGATTTAACCCATTCCTTGATTGCGAGGGATATTGAAGATACTACGGTAGATTCTCATGTCATGGATAAAAATATAATTTTTACGAAAACTGTTAAGAGGGCTACACATCAGAGGAGAATCGTCATCTATTGTAGGCCACCCCACATCCCCTTTTTGCTATGGAAACACGGTATACGTTGCCAAGGCATCAGGAAATGTGAGTGGGGCTAGCAGGCTCCCTCACACTCACTCACTCACACACACACCTGCTCCTACCCCCGCACCTTACAAGACCAACTCTTCACCTCACTCAAACCAGAGCTCCATGGAATAAATGGAACAGTATCAAACACATCAAACATTTGGAAACCACGTTTGACTCAGTTCCATGTATTCCATTGCAGCCATTACAATGAGCCCATCCTCCTATAGCTCCTCCCACCAGCCTCCTCTGACACACATGCACACTGATTTTCAAACGCGTACATATTCCTGAGTGAAGTCTATGAGGTTCTGGAGGTCGATGTCATCACGGTACGCCCGGATGTTATTATTGATGAAGAAGTTGAGCTGGTCCTTGATCCAGTCCTTGAAGGTGAAGGCCAACACTCCAGCTGTCAGCTCCAGGAAGAAGATGATCCCCAGGAACACAGAGAACTGGAACAGAACAGGGGGAGTAAAGAGGGGTCATGTGAGCAAACAAACATACGACAAAGCTGGGATTAAGTGTTTCCATTCCTGGGGGATCTAGATGGATCCAAGGGGTGTATATTTTTGTTCTAGCCCAGCACTAACACACCTGATTAATCAGCTAAGCAGAGGATGTTCTGTAATTCTGTCATAGAGGGGACATAGAGGGCGGGTCTCCTAGACTCAGATTAAGCCTACTCATCATGGACTATAGTGTGGGACAGTCCCGGAATAGGCTTAATTTGAGTCCAGGAAACTGTCCCCATGGGTCTGGGGAGAGAGTGGGAGTTCAAGGTGGAGTCAATGATGTATATAAAGACATATAATGATAATACTAATAATGCATAGGTTTTATATGGCGCTTTTCATGGACAAAGACATATACACTCCCCTCTGTATTTATTTAGACAGTGAAGCAAAAACCTTTAGTTTGTGACTCCAAAATGACACAATACATTATTCACCATTCAGTTCCTATTGGGCACAACATAATCCGAAACACAACCAAAACAAACTGCAAATGCATCCAACAAGTTTGCAGTCACAAGCTTGATGTATGGGACCAAATACTAAACTTTTGACTACTTTAATACAATATAAGTGAATTAGTCCAAATACTTATTAAACCTTCAAAAGGAGGGACTACATGTATGACTGTCACCTCATATGAAAGATTTGATCTCAAATCCCAACTGCTGGAGTATAGAGCCAAATTAAATAAATATGGAGGGGAGTGTATATTCATATATGTGTTTATGTCCATGTCTAAGGGGGGAGCCGAGTGGGAGTAAGAAGATTGTGGACATACAAACTTGAGCAGGAAGGTGTTTTCCCTCAGCGCTCCGATGCAGCCGGCAAAGCCCAGGATGAACATGACCCCTCCCGTCACCAGGAAAAGCCAGACGGGGTCAAAGCCCCCCAGGTCTGTGATGGACGAGATGTTGGAGAGAACACCCTAAAGAGAGAGAGAGAGAGCGAGAGAGAGCTCCAATGTGTTAACAGTGAGCAAGGTAAGAATTGTATGCTTTGCTACTCTTCCAGACACGAGGGTGGTCCAGGAAAAAGACTGATTGTCTATTGTACTTATCGGATCATTTCTTTGTGTAATATATACACTACATGGCCAAAAGTATGTAGACACCTGCTCGTCGAACATCTCATTCCAAAATCATGGGCATTAATATGGAGTTTTCCCCCCTCTTTGCTGCTATAACAGCCTCCCTCTTCTGGGAAGGCTTTCCACTAGATGTTGGAACATTGCTGCGTGGGACTTGCTTCCATTCAGCCACAAGAGCATTAGTGAGGTCGGGCACTGATGTCGGCCGATTAGGCCTGGCTCGCAGTCTGCGTTCCAATTCATCCAAAAGGTGTTTGATGGGGTTGAGGTCACGGCTCTGTGCAGGACAGTCAAGTTCTTCCACACCGATCTCGACAAACTATTTCTGTACAGACCTCGCTTTGTGCACGGGGGCATTGTCATGCTGAAACAGGAAAGGGCCTTCCCCAAACTGTTGCCACAAAGTTGGAAGCACAGAATCGTCTAGAATATCATTGTATGCTGCAGCGTTAAGATTTCCCATCACTGGAACAAACGGGCATAGCCCGAACCATGAAAAACAGCCCCAGACCATTATTAATTCCTCCTCCACCAAACTTTACAGTTGGCACTATGCATTCAGGCAGGTAGCCTCCTCCTGGCATCCGCCAAACCCAGATTTGTCCGTCGGACTGCCAGATGGTGAAGCGTGATTCATCACTCCAGAGAACGCGTTTCCACTGCTCCAATGGCGGCGAGCTTTACACCACTCCAGCCGATGCTTGGCATTGCTCATGGTGATCTTAGGCTTGTGTGCGGCTGCTCGGCCATGGAAACCAATTTCATGAATCTCCCGACGAACAGTTATTGTGCTGACGTTGCTTCCAGAGGCAGTTTGGAACTCTGTAGTGAGTGTTGCAACCGAGGACAGACGATCTTTACACGCTACGCACTTCAGCGGTCCCGTTCTGTGAGCTTGTGTGGCCTACCACTTTGTGGCTGAGCCGTTGTTGCTCCTAGACGTTTCCACTTCACAATAACAGCACTTACAGTTGACTGGGGCAGCTCTAGCAGGGCAGAAAATTGACGAATTGACTTGTTGGAAAGGTGGCATCCTATGATGGTGCCACTTTGAAAGTCACTGAGCTCTTCAGTACGGGCCATTCTACTGCCAGTGTTTGTCTATGGAGATTGCAAGGCTGTGTGCTCGATTTTATACACCTGTCAGCAACGGGTGTGGCTGAAATAGCCAAATCCATTAATTTGAAGGGGTGTCCACATGCTTTTGGCCATGTAGTGTATATGAGACCTTACCGAACTAGCACATTTGGCTCTCTGGAAGTTGTGGGAACTAAGTTTTTGGTTTCCCATTGGTTCTGGGAACGAAGCCATACGTTTCCTGAGCGGTAAAACAGAATGTTTTTTAAAGTAAATTTGTAGCTTGTTCTGAGAAAATATGTTTTTTAGGTTGCAGGGAGGTTCTATAAAATGTTTTACTATGGTTCACTGCAAGTTTTCCTGGGAGGTTTTATTAACGTTCTGAGAACAGAAATGCTAGGTTATTTGAAGGTAATTAAGTAATGTTCTGAGAACATTCTCTAAATGTTATGAATGTTTTGAACAAAATGTAAAGGTTATTTGGAGGTTTTTGAATAACTTCCTTAAAACTTAAACTGAATGTTACAATAAGACTTCTTGCTTAAGTTAATAGTTTTGAACTCCAAGCACAGATAGGAGACATGGAAATTCATTAAATTAGGCATTAATCATGCTAAGACGTTTCTTTTTTATTGTGGCACGGAGGTGTTGAATGGAGTTGAAGGATGGGACTAATAACAACTAGATAACTAATGTAAAGCATACTGTGTCCATAATAAGTATATAGGTTAAAGGTTGAGAGCTTTTGGGAAAGAGCACAGTTAGAAAGATATGGCATTTAGAAGCAAACCGGATGGACATCATGAAAATGATCGGAGAGGTTGAGAGTAGAAGAAGTTCAGGAGCAAAAAAATAAATATATATATATAAATATATATATATATATATATAGAATTATTGTAAAATTAACTCTGTCCATAAGGTGTAGATAGTAAGTATAGACCGGAAGTAGAAGCCTGGGCGTTGTTGTTCACTAATTTACTCCAAGTAGGGAAAGGATGGTGGGGTTGAAAAGTAATAAAGGGGAATATATATATAAAAAATAAAAATAAACATGGGGGATTGGAAGTGATGCAGACAATTACATTGATAGAAGATACAATCTATCTGCAATATTAAGCTGATCCATTCCCCCCGAAAAAAAATAAAATAATTAAAAAATAATAATAATAAATAAATAAATATAAAAAAATATTTAAAAAAATAATAATAATTATGAATTAATCATGCAAAGACGTTTCTTTTTTATTGTGGCACGGAAACCATGAGATTCAAACCTCTAATCTTCTGTTTTCTATCCATGGAGTTAGTCCACTGTGCCACCAGGATCGAGCTAGCATGGCAGTTTTTTTTTTACTCATACAAAGCTGTTAATTTTAGTTTATTCAAACAGACCCCATTTCAAAGGAAACAAGCACTCATTAAGATCAGGTGTGGCCAATTAGTGGCCGCGGCCAACACAACTGAACACACTTAACAAGATGGAGGATAGAGAGAGTTGTATTGACGCTGAGAACGGAATGTACAGTGCCTTCAGAAAATATTCATACCCCTGGACTAATTCCACATTTTGTTGTGTTACAGCCTCAATTCAAAATTGATTAAATATATATTTTTCTCACCCATCTACACACAATACCCCATTATGACAAAGTGAAAACATGTTTATAGAAATGTTTGATGTAAAAAATAAAAATTTACAAATTGTACAATTTACATAAGTGTTCACACCCCTGAGTCAATACATGTTAAAATCCCCTTTGGGCAGCGATTACAGCTGTGAGTCTTTCTGAGTAAGTCTTTAAGAGCTTTGCACACCTGGATTGTACAAGATTTGCACATTATATTATTTTTGAAAATTCTTCAAGCTCTGTCAAGTTGGTTGTTGATTATTGCTAGACAGCCATTTTCAAGTCTTGCCATAGGTTTTCAAGCCGATTTAAGTCAAAACTGTAACTCGGCCACTCAGGAACATTCAACATAGTTTTGGTAAGCAACTACTGTGTATATTTGGCCTTGTGATTTAGGTTGTTGTCCTGCTGAAAGGTGAATTTGGAAAGCAGACTGAACCATGTTTTCCTCTAGGATTTTGCCTGTGCTTAGCTTCATTCCGTTTCATTTTATCCTAAAAAGTCCTTGCCAATGACAAGCATACCTAAAATGTGGAAACACGGTGGAAAAAGTCAAGGGCTGTGAATACCTTCTGAAGGCACTGTATATGTTTTTTAAATAGCATTCTTAGAACGTTCTTTGAACGTTACTAATGTTTTCTTGTGGCTTTTGTGGAAATGTTTCTTAATGTTTAAATGGAATTGTTAAAGTAATGAAATACCAATAAAATAACTTTAAAGTTCCTTAAATGTGCTGAGAATGTTCCAAAGCCAAGAAACTACCCTGCACCATTCCCAGAATGTTGTGGGAAGGTTGTATGGAAAATAACCATATCACAACCACTCTCTCACCGAGCTCTAAGAAACATATGGTTCTCAGAATGTTATGTGCTAGCTGGTTATGTTCTGTTCTGTTCTCACTGTATATTGTACTTCTTATGGGATCATTTCTTTGTGTAATATACAGTGAGGTAAAAAAGTATTTGATCCCCTGCTGATTTTGTACGTTTGCCCACTGACAAAGAAATGATCAGTCTATAATTTTAATGGTAGGTTTATTTGAACAGTGAGAGACAGAATAACAACAAAAAAATCCAGAAAAACGCATGTCAAAAATGTTATAAATTGATTTGCATTTTAATGAGGGAAATAAGTATTTGACCGCTCAGCAAAACATGACTTAGTACTTGGTGGCAAAACCCTTGTTGGCAATCACAGAGGTCAGACGTTTCTTGTAGATGGCCACCAGGTTTGCACACATCTCAGGAGGGATTTTGTCCCACTCCTCTTTGCAGATCTTCTCCAAGTCATTAAGGTTTCGAGGCTGACGTTTGGCAACTCGAACCTTCAGCTCCCTCCACAGATTATCTATGGGATTAAGGGCTGGAGACTGGCTAGGCCACTCCAGGACCTTAATGGGCTTCTTCTTGAGCCAACCCTTTGTTGCCTTGGCCGTGTGTTTTGGGTCATTGTCATTCTGGAATACCCATCCACGACCCATTTTCAATGCCCTGACTGAGGGAAGGAGGTTCTCACCCAAGATTTGACGGTACATGGCCCCGTCCATCGTCCCTTTGATGCGGTGAAGTTGTCCTGTCCCCTTAGCAGAAAAACACCCCCAAAGCATAATGTTTCCACCTCCATGTTTGACGGTGGGGATGGTGTTCTTGGGGTCATAGGCAGCATTCCTCCTTCTCCAAACACGGCGAATTGAGTTGATGCCAAAGAGCTCGATTTTGGTCTCATCTGACCACATCTGAACACTTCCACCCAGTTCTCCTCTGAATCATTCAGATGTTCATTGGCAAACTTCAGACGGGCATGTGTATGTGCTTTCTTGAGCAGGGGGACCTTGCGGGCGCTGCAGGATTTCAGTCCTTCACGGCGTAGTGTGTTACCAATTGTTTTCTTGGTGACTATGGTCCCCAGCTGCCTTGAGATCATTGACAAGATCCTCCCGTGTAGTTCTGGGCTGATTCCTCGCCGTTCTCATGATCATTGCAACTCCACGAGGTGAGATCTTGCATGGAGCCCCAGGCCGAGGGAGATTGACAGTACTTTTGTGTTTCTTCCATTTGCGAATAATCGCACCAACTGTTGTCACCTTCTCACCAAGCTGCTTGGCGATGGTCTTGTAGCCCATTCCAGCCT